ATGAGAAGAAGAGACCAAACCGGTGATTAGTTTCTACGTAAAGTACGGAAGGAGTTTTTTTTTCAGCTTTGTGTGTTCGTTAGCTGCTGAGAAGAAGAGACCAAATGATGTTTTTCAGGCCGGCGGCCGGCGGGGTAAGTTAGCTAGTTTGGGATATAGTCTGAGCAGTCTCCTATTAGAGTGTAAAACTTAAGGGTTGTATCCTGCAGGTTTAGGGACAATGATGGTTTCTCAGTGTCTGTATCATTCGTTTCTCGACAACACAATGAAACTCAGGTAGTTAGAGAGAAAGTGGGGAAAACGTTATTGGTTTGTGATTCAAGTGTTTTGGGACAAATTTGAGAATTAGTTCGACTATAGTTTTCAGGTCAGAATCCTCTTTGATGAATTCAACACTTAAGAAATCTTAGCATCATTCTCTTCAAAAACTGGTTTATTAATGCTTATCCATCAGATTAGTTCCTCACGCTAGTATTTGTAACACATAGGATTTGGTGGCCTACCAGTTTCGTGCAGATGTGGTGTTTGCAGACCTTCTTGGTTGATTGAGAAACCAATGTGAACTTTAACTCAGATAAGTGAACCAGAATTCTATTAGCGTGTTTAGTTATACTCTCAGAGTTTTGTGGGAAATAACTAAGTTTTCTGTTAGTAACTTAAGGCTTTATTAAGTTTACCCCCATCCATCGCAAGTGGTCTGATCCTACTGAATTACACCTTTGGAAGAACTGGTTCCCCGTCCGTCACATTCACATGTATATCAGAATTTGTAAATCAGTTGAAGATGCTTGATTGAGCTTGGGGTTTAATATAAGGTATCCATGGACAGAGAAAGCCTATGAAACATAAAAGCAACCTTTCAAAAAATTGTACTTTGCTTTACAAATCCCTTTGACTCATAAGTCACGAAATCAGGAGTCCATCAAGGTGTGCTGGCAGATTTTAAGACAGCAAAGAGCTCCAAGATAGTAAAATGATTTGCTGGCTAACACTTTTGTGGACGATGCCCATTCTTTTAAGGGCGCTGTAATGTATTCACTTATGATTTGAATCTGAAGAGAAGGAATTACATTTGGTCTTCTCATACTTTTAGTAAATACAAGGGCCTAATTGCTTGTGGCTGTTTTACTTTCATGGTTGGTGTGTGGACATGGTGAAATCAGCTACTCAATCGAGCATTGCGGTTTTCTCTTTTATGTAGTTTAGTGTATTCTTGGTTGGGAGTTTCAAAACCAATTCCTCATACTCTTCTAGGATTATGATATATGAGCTCTGAGGTATAGTATGGTAGGTACAGGTAACATAGGTAATCGATACTAGATCTGGAATCTATGGACTGTTATCTTAAATATGACTTCTCATTCTCCAGTATCTCCAGATTACCTGGTTTATATTTTCCAGAGAAAACTACTTTTAAGTTATTGGAGTATCTCTATCTGTTCTCATTATGCTGGATATATTACATTGTGCATTTTGTACCTAAAGCTAAGGTCCGTTCTAAAACTGTGTAGTCTTCTCTTTGCATATTCAATCTCGTTACTTGCAGCGTAAGTATGCTCATATGTGTGAGGTTCAGAATCTTGTTTTTTAAACTCGGCTATGGTGAAGTTCTTCAGTATCCAAAACTTGGATTTTTGGTCTTGAAATGTGACTATAAGATTGAAAACAAGTGATACGTTTTCAGCCACCATTTGGTACTTCTTGGCTTCACTCTTTAAGTAATACCATTCTTGAATGAAAACTGAGTTTGCTTGGTAATTAAAGATATTTCTTTTCTGAGCTTGTAAATGTTTTCCTGGATCAATTTTGAATGTTGAGAGAACTTTCTGTGCAGGGTTAGCTTGGCTCCAAGGTTGAAGCTTTGTGTAATCATGGGTCACAGACATTTTCCTGGTTCATCCCAGTTTTTTGATGATGAACATGATCAAGACTGGAACTATATACACCCAGAGCGTCCTTATACGAATCTAGGTAATTATTCCCACATTCCTGTAGATCTGTAATCTAGTTCTGGTTAATATAAATAAAATTTTCATCCTTGTTCTCTATTTATAGAGATTGATACATAACCTTTGTAAGAGATATTGAGTTTATGATGGATGCTTATTTTTAGGTTAAGAAGTTCCAGGTGGTTCTCCCTCATGGGTAGATTGGGTTTCACTAGGTAGTTAGAATGAGGAGGCAACATTTTATAACCATCACATATACCCTCTACTCTTTCCTGTGCTATAAATAGTCCACGAATTTTCTGATTTAACATCATTATCTGCCCACGTTTTCTCAGCAAGATCTGGGACCAATGAGAACAACAGATCGCATGTTTATCCAGCAGAAAACATGTCGAGTGAAGGAATGCCAGTTTCTTCCCACTGGAACTCTTCTACAGGACCAAATGCATATACTACTCCAGGTCATGGTGTGGAGAGGCCACACTACAATCCAGGCACTTCAGGCCCATCCAATGTTCCTTTCATGAGCTCAACAGTTGCAACTTTCTCTGCTCCACATGAACACTATGTGACATCTGCATCTTCTTCGAACTGCATCAGCCATACATGGTCAAATGACAGCTATGTTGATCCACCTATGGAAAATATGAGAGGATCACTGAAGCGGAAAGCCCCATATGATTCTTCCAACTATGAAATGGGTAGCTCAAGCCATTACCACGGTGACAGAGCTTCCTCAGCCATGCCTTTCCCCTCGGAGATGCACATGGGAAAATCAATAACTCATGGTCAGGATCCTCATTACATGCCGTGGCTCATGGACCCATCTTACAGAAATAATAATCTCTCGATGAGGGGGGAGAGTTCTTCAAGGAGTGTCCGGTCTCGTCATACACCTGATTTAGAGACCAGCGTAGATAGAAATAATTTGCCAAGAACCTCAGGCTTTGATTCTCATCCTGCACACCACAATGTCGAGCATTTTAGCTCAGGTCCATTCCATGGTCAGCCATCTCACAGAGATAAGAACTGGAACTGTCCTAGACTCTCCCCAGTCCCTGGAGGTATGCAAAATCTCTCGAGATTCAAATGTTGTTGTCTACATTCATTAACCACATTGACTCTTATCTTGCAGATATAAGTGGCTTTAGTCCAGAGACAATTAATTTTCTTCCTTCAAGAGTTGTTGTCAACAGCACACCTGTTGATACCTCTGGCTATCACCAGGGGCTAATTGGAAACAGAAACTCTGCAGCTCCCCACTGTTTTCCCGGAACGTCAACACAACCTCCAGGCAGCTCCCGCTTCTCTCATAGGTCGACACCCACCTATAGATCTTCATCAAACGGTCTGCGATTAGGACATGTAGCATCTTCTTCTGCAGACAGGTCTCATTTGGTTAATGAGACATATCCTTCTAGGCATCTAAGGCCACCACCACACATTTCATGGCGTAGCAGTGGTCGCCCAGGGAGACGCAGGAGTTCCTATGAGAGGTTTCAGCCTCCTTTCGATGAAGCTTCTCTCCATGAACGGTTTTCATCTCAGGTGTAGTAAATTTTGTTTTCTACAGAACTTGCCAATAAAAAGTTGAGCTTAAAAGCTCAATCCAATACTTTGCAAAAGTTTGCCTGCGTAAGCACTTTCAGTTTTTTATTATTATGCTGCGTACTGACTGTTTTATGATTTGTTTTTGTGGATGTAAAAAACAGGGATTTATGGTTGTAGATCATCACAGAAATATGCTTGATCACCACAGAGACATGAGGCTGGACATAGATGACATGACCTACGAGGTTATTTTACAAAACACTTTCTGGTCTTTTTAAGCATCACAACGCCAAAAGTCTGTGTAACTGATATATCTAAAATGATGACACATTCCAGGAGCTTCTTGCGCTCGGAGAAAGGATTGGGAGTGTCAACACTGGTCTATCCAACGGAGCAATCTCCAGTTGCTTGTTAGAGACAACATATTACACATTGTATCAAACGGATGAGCCAAGAAAATGCGCAATCTGCCTGGTACAGATTACTTCTTCTAAATCTTTTGTATGTGCAAGTAAGGTGAAATATAGTTAAAGATGGGCTAATGGTGTTGTTGTAATGGTAACACTTAGGAGGAGTACGAAGAAGGAGAAGAGTTAGGGGAACTTAAAGGGTGTGGTCATGACTACCATGGTGGATGCATCAAGAAATGGCTCTCTATGAAGAACTCTTGCCCTATTTGCAAATCCCCTGCTTTACCTGATGCTTCTTCTAAGAATCCAGAATAAACTGTAATTAGATTATTAGTTAACCTCCTTTGCTTCAAGGTTATATTTTCTGTGTGCATGCTATATAATATTATATTCATTGGCCTTTTATGTTTAAAGAAACTAAACATAAGTTGTCATAAGGATAGTTGTAAATAGAATGATCAATCTTCAAGGGTTCTTATAACATGTTATATTTTTCCATCTCCTGAACATCTCTCGAAACTTATATTTTTTAGATTTATTTAGATATTGCATAGGGCATTATTAATGGAGATAAATGCAGTTTTTCAGCTTAATGTAGTAGTTCATGGTGCTCATTACATACCCTCTGCTCGCGTCATCCTACATTTTCACCAGCAGTTAACTATACCGTTTTACAAAGACAAATACTGTTGAACAAAAAAAAAAACAAAGACAATACTGTTGAACAAAAAAAAAAAAGACAAATACAAATTCAGTAAGCTGCTTGAGATTCCTTGGCCAAAGTTCAACCACTTCGTTTTAATAGTGGTTATTGAAAAGCAGCAAGCATAGCATAGATTAAAAAAAAAAAAGAAGCATAGACTGGGATTAAATAATAGCACAAACATATAAACTTTGTGAAAATAGTATTAGCACATACATGCATTGATTTGTTTCGGAACAGAAGGAAACGAATTCAGAATTAGTTTCTAAGCTATGGCCTGTGGGGCCGAGCTTTTTGTTTGGAGAAGCAAGATCGGTCCATGCGTTTGGGAAATTGAAAGTCTTTTCGTCTTTGAGCTGATCTTTAAGGAAAAGATACAAGATCAAGTTACTTTCAAAGTTGTCTTAAACCCTCTCTAATATATTTTGCTATTTAAAAAATAATAGATAAATTATATGATAGACATAGATTTAATTTTTTTCAAATAGTGTTCGCTCAAATATGTTCTCTTAAAATAGTTTTTTGCTAAAAGGTAGAGTTATAAAATAAAACTTGCAAGTTTTAGTCTAAATTGAGGAATCTTATAGTACAGTTTTTAGACTCTCCAGCACGTCATGTCAGCATTTTATGGGTCACACACATTTAATTTTTAATAGTATAAAATTTTGTCACAATGCCTTTTGACAACGAATAAAAACATGGTCGAGTGATCAAAGCTGCCAAATTAAATGTTCGTTCTGCAGGTGTATGGGTTCGAATCCTACAAATCCCATGTTTTCTAAAACGTTTATTTGTTGGGTAATTTTTTATATGGACCTAAAATGTGTCTTATTATAATATAGGCTTCGACGTTTGGTATTTGTACTATTTCTAATTGTGCCTCGCCATATTTGACCCGAGAACAAACTTATGGCCGACTTCTGATTTATGTCTTCGTGGACTTTGCATTTGGCATGGTACTGAGTAGAGTAACCGTATTCATCGCAAATTTTTTTTGGTTGATGGCTCTTCCTTCGTTAAGCCGCATGCGTCCTTTCAATAATATCTAATTATTCCATTCCTCTCTCCATTATTAATTTCCTCATAACTTCAACAACTCAAACATTTCGTAACCATAAAGGGAGACGATTATAAATAATAGAGGCGTCGGCACTGAGACCTACATCTCATACCTTTATTCTGCATTTCTCCTCTCTACAAGTTATTCCAACAGCGTCTGCCGCCGGCAATGCTTTCGCTTCCCAAGCCTTGGTTCACGAGGGAAAGTTTGATGATTTTTGTCTTAGATGTTTGGGTGGTACGGCTCCGTTTGATACGTAAACCCGATATTCACGATTCCGGTTTCGTCAAAGGTTTATGTATTTAATCCTCCAGCTTTGTCTTTATTAAAGCTTGAAATAGTGTAATTTAGGATCTCAATTTGTTTCACTTTTGTAATTGTTTGTAAAAAACAATTGAAAATGGTATTTGTTCGTACGATTTGTAGTAAGTATTATCGTATATATATATATATATATATCTTCATTGATGTGATTTGGCAGCTTGCATGCAAGACAAGGGAATCTTAGCACTTCCAACCCGTCTGAATACTTCTTCAAAGGTCTCTTAAGCACTGATGCTAACAACTTTTACATGTGTTTGCGTCTTAGTTTATTTACAATATCAACATTCATGGTATATACTTTATGACCTAAATTTTATTGATTTACTGATATAGAGTTTGAAGTTTCGCTCCAGTGAGGAGATCGACCTAGACTCTGTCACCATCAAGCTACACTCTGTCACCATCAAGCGGTTATGAGAGGAAGAATTAAAGCCCAAGCTCTAAACAAGCGTTTTGGTTTGCAATTTACGCCATAATTGCAGGTTTATATTTGACATATCCTTAAAAAAATTATTCGATATATTTTTAATTCTCTTCAGCCATTTTATTTAGGACGCCATGAGTTTTTAGATACTTATTAAAAATAATTAAGCATGAGATTATGTTATCTTTTGAATTTTTTTAAAGTTAATATATATCTCAGACTCCTCTCGATATGCTTGGTTTGATGATCGTTTGTCTTATGATAAAATAAATACACGAGATGGGGTTTTTTGGTCATCAAAATTATTTTCAAGCTTCAACGACTGATCTTCGAAGGTAAACAATGAAGCAAAGCGGGCAAAATAATAATATATACCCCAAAACAAAAGCAAAAAAAAAAACTTTTATTGAATTTTTATTTATAGTTTTGGCTTTTATGACTATAACTCCAATGTGTAATATAATTTTTCATTTCCTGATGGCAAGTTATGTTTCTCTGCTTATATTTTTTTCCAAGAAAAAAATATTTCAGAAGGTCATTTGAGTCGTTTCAGTCTTTTCAAAGACATTTAAATAATTTTTTCACTAAATTTAGAATGTGTGTACATTTGTTTCATTGTACATGATGAACCGAAAAATGTTTTTTTTTTAAATTCAAAGATCCAGAGAACAAGATTCAACCGAAACTTAATCTAGAAAAATAACCATATTTATTACACTACAAAAAGAAAAAAAAATTTATTTAAGAACCCAAAATTAGTTTCTCAGTTCTACATTTTATTGTCATATATGAATATTTCGATATATGAAACGGTAGAAAGTTTATTCTATCCAACAAAAAAAATTACAATATTTAGTTACAAAATCAACCCCATGAACTTTTTAAAAGAAAACTTATTAACTGTTTGTATATGTTGTTAAATTTGAAAAAAACACTTTCACTACCACAATTTCATTAGTATAATTACAACTTAAAAAGTTCGGTAAACTATGATTATGAAATCAATAATACTACAGTAAATGGTCGACCGAGTCATTATAAATGTAAGATATTCAACTAATCTCAAATATAAGTTCACTACAAATAGTTATATTGTCTAAAGTAAGAATTATGATTTTCAATAGTTCTTTCGATCACCATCACAGACACATGACAACCAACAAAATGTTCAATAACACAAAATTTAACAATAAAACTAAACAAAAAATACCGAAAACAAAAACATCAAAAATATTTTTGGTCCCGCATTTACGCGGAGACTATGCAACTAATATAATAATTTGGAATAGTTTTGACTCTAAATATTTTTTACAAAGAAAAAATAACAATAAACTGGAAATGCTCTAATCAAATGTTCATGTGATATTCATAACTTAGGAATTAGGATACAATTAATAATGTAAACCTAATTAAGTAGATAAAGAAACTAAATAGAAATAACAAGGGTATGATAAATTTATAATGTAAGGGATAAGGCTTTCCTAATGATATTCATTAGGTCAACTCAAATAAGTCGCATTCAGTTCCGAAAAATATAAAACTATTGTGAAGCAATAAGCCAATTATACACTAACATAATTATGCATGTATTGATTTGTTTTGGACAGGAAATCAAGAATTATTAATCGACACGCTTGCTGTGTCGACCAATTTTCCGGGAGAGAAGCAACGTGGGTCCATATTTATAAGCACAAGTAAGATAGTTTTTTTTTTCTATTTAGAAGATTATCTGAGAGTAATCTCATATTAATTAGCATCTTAGAAGTATTACAACATTGAACTAAGAAATTTAGATCGTCTTTTTGCGTTCATAGTTTTCATCAACGATTCACCAATGATCAAAATCTTTCTCTTTGTGCCGCTTTTAAGAAGACCTGATAAAACATAATCGTTTTGATCTCTAAATTTTAAGTGCCTAATATATATGGATCATCCGGTTTCCAAATTATAGCGTAACTGTTTCATGCTTCATAAAAAAAAGAGTGATTTAGTGTATTGCCCCAAATAGAGGCCTAAATTGGAGAAGTACCCACTGATTGACATATAGGGCCCGAGACATACCATGGCCATGGCAAAAAGACGGAACTAATCTCGCACGAAAGATTTGATCTTCGGCGCTTGTGTCAGTCGACTGACACAAAATATCCACGCCGATTCTAATAGCTGCCTACCCTACTCTGAAACCTAGGACGACTTGTATGCAATTAAACACACGTTTCCTCGGTTATCCGTGATTTCTGTTTAAGCGCAACATCCTAAGCTACCTCGGAAAAGTTAAGTGTACGTAATACCATACTAATTTGAAGATAAAAGAAGGTAGAGTTGGGTAAAAGTTTAGTTATCAGAACAAAAAAAAAAGTCGGGGAGAAAGAGGGAGAACGAAAGCTGTGATTTGGTGTTTGAAGAAGATAAACTCAAGAGACAGAAATCGTTTTTTCTCGGAGTGTAAGTTCTAAGCTTTGTCTATATTTCCTACGTAGGAAAGGTTGTTCGATATCCTTAAATGTTTTGAGTTCCTGATAATTGTAATGTTACAGCGTAACAGGTTTGGAAGATGAGGCACCAAGTTCGTGTCGTTGTTGGAGACTGGGAACGAGGCGCTCAAGGCGCATGGAGGTTCAACGTGGATAAAACCATGATAAGAGCTGACGTCGAGCTTAAGGAGAACGAGAGCTTCATCTCACTTGTTGGTATGGTGAGGGAGAAGTTCGACGTAGACCCACTGTATGGAGTCAACGCCCCCGTGCTGCTGACTTACCACTACCCAGACCTTGAAAAAGAGCCTGAGGACTACTCAGCACCACCCATCGAAATAAATGAGAACGAAGACGTGGCTGTGTTCATGTCTGTTAGGGTTGACAATGTGTGGCAGGAGCTGTATGTGACATTGGGTGAAGAGGATGTTTACAACTACAGGAGGCAGAGGGATGTTGAAGATGGAATAACCGCTTCAGAACAACAAATACCAGCGCGCGGTTTAGTGAG